TTCGGGGGCCCAGACGGCGCCATGGTTCTCGACGTTCCATCCCGACGCGTCGATCCGATCCATCTCCATCCTCCTCCAGCAAGAAAAACGGCATGGACAAAACTTCTCGAAGGGAAAACACTGCAACTGCATGAACACAACATTTCGGAGCTCCTCTTGGCGTTCTCAGGGAGAACAACTGGCATGAAAATACACGTTGAAAACACACTTTTCGAAGGATAAACACTGCAACTGCACGAACTCAACATTTCGGAACTCCGCGTGGCGTTCTCGGATCGGCGCTGGGCCCCCTAGCGGCGCCTCCGGCGCCGCCCCTGGCACGCTCTGCGCGCCAGAGACGGGTGTCCAGCGCAGAACCAAAAAACCCGCGTGGACATTCGACCGTTTTTGTTTACGCTGTTAGGTCTTCGATCCTCCTAATCAAGCTCCTTCTCCATCTACATGTGCACACAACGAAATATATCCTCCACCTTCACTGATACCGTTCGCGGCTGTTCTGCCATATCTTCCGCGTACGCACGACTTCTCACACGCAAGATCTCCCCAAAGTGGTTGTATAATGAGTGCTTCGATCGAAACGTCCTCGGAATCCTCATCCTCCTCTTCCTTTTCCTCCTCTTTTCCTTCCCTTGTCTCCTCCTCCTCCTCTTCCTCCTCCTCTTCCTCCTCCTCCTCCTCCTCCTCCTCCTCCTCCTCCTACTTCTCCTCCTCCTCCTCCCCCCATCCCTTCCCTCCTCCTCCCCCCATCCCTTCCCTCCTCATCTGTCCCCTCTCTTCCCTCTCCTCCCTCCCCTCCTTCTCCTCCTCCCCAACCCCGAGAAGCCGAGCGACTGGAGGAGGGAAAAAGGGAGGAGGGAGAGATGGGGGGAGGGACGGATGAGAAGGAGGGAGGATGGAAAGAGAAAGGAGCGGGGAGAAGGGAAAGGGGGGGAGGAGGGGACGAGGGAGGGAGGAGGGAGGAGGAAGGGGACCGATAGGAGGGAGGGGGGAAAGACTCTGGAGACTCTGGCTGCGAAGCCGCAACTGAATCATGAACGGTACACGCAGGCATGTGGGAGCAAGCGTGCAGCGCGTACACACCAAACAATCAATGCACAGGTGAAGGAGGGGGCGCCTGCACGAACGGCTCCATAATGTGGCTGAATACGAGCGGCGGACGTCGCTCCCCCGTCTTGGGGTGAAGTCCCCGCTTGGCCACGCCGAGCGTGTGCCCCGCTCTCCCGTCCCATGCCCACTCCCGCCCCCGTTTCCGCCACGCCCTTGGGACGGACACGGGTGAGGCTGACCGAGAGGCGACTTGGGCGAACGGCGTGCGCCGTGCACACAGACACACACACACACACAGACACAGACACAGACACAGACACACACACACACACACACACACACACACACACACACACACACGGCCGGCACCGATCCATGCTCGGGGGGCGAGAGAAATCAGAGAGGACGGAGTAGATGCCTGTCGCCAGCAGGCCTGGCAGACGACTCAGTCGAATAAGAGCATTACCGAACTATGGTCGGTCGGCTTGCGCTTCCACTTCTGACGAACGACCCTCTCGACCGCACGACGGACGACAATACTGGTAATGAATGTGTGCGCTGTAGCCACACTGGCCAAGCCAACCATCTCCCAGGCAGCAGTCTTAGTACACACGTCGGCCCACAGATTCCCGAACAAATCGTCGGGCGGTTCGTTTGCGAATCACACGGCTTCCAACCCATCCTCAAAACTTCGGTGGCCATCCGTCCGGGCAAACTCGGGCAACGCTTCATCACCCTGAAACGAATTTTGCATCTGGCACCACACTGAGGCGTGAGGCGCGCGAGCACGGGCGCGGGGGCCTACCCGATGGCCCGTGACAACAATCGTGGGTCACGCCGCCACTTCGATATTACAGAGAACGCCGATCCGTGCGGACCGACGAACAGTCTGCGCGGGGCTGTCCGCGGGCCTCTTCCGCAGCAGACGAAACAACTGTGGCGGACCCCTGTGCCACACCAGGAACACATTCTTCCGCAAGACGATTACGATCAAGACGTCCGCCGCCCCTCCTGTCGGATTTTGACCGTGATATTTTCGAGTCCGCGTGGGGCAAATGGTGGGGAGGAGGGGAACCTGCTTCAGCAGCTCCGAAATTGCCAAGGGCCTGGGCCCACCCAGCCGACGAACCCGTCACGCGTGCCGTCGCACACGAGCTCGCACAGGCCCCCAACCCAGAAGAATGCGCATCGCGGGCCAGCTGGGGGGCAGCAGCCGCCAAGGACCCAGTCGCCGCGGATGGCCCAACAGACCCGCTAACCAAGCTAAGCGATGCCCCCAACGCAGAGGAATGCACTTCTCTGGCCAGTCGGGGCGTACGCTACGAGGCCGTGGGCGACGATGGCGCCCCTGAAGGCATACTTCTTGTGGGCCGAGGGGTGTGACGACTAGGGGCTGAAACCCTGCCCCCTCGGCCCTGCGGCCCAGCGCTGGCGGAGGCGGAACCTCTCCAGCGGGCTAGGGCTCCGACGCGCGTGGCTTCCGGACTCGAATGCCAAGGGCTGCCGCTGCATCGATGTACTTCCCGCTTCGCCTCGAGCTGGTCCTCGGGAGGTGCTTTTCGAAGGGCCTTATCTGCAGCTGCGAACTCCTTCTGCTTCTCCTCGCAGCCTTCTCCTCCCAAGAGCTCCACGCCACTGCCCTCGCCATCTCCTGACTCTGTTGGGATCTGCTCACCGCCCCCGCCAGCGGCGCCAGGGGCGCCTGGGTCACCAACGCCAGGAGAAGCAGGAGGAGGGGCGGCCGCTCTGCGCCGCTCAACAGCTTCACTCTGGAGGCGCGAGAGCACAGCCAAGGCGTCCTTGGCCTCCTGGCTCTCCAGCGCGGCGTCGTCCAGCCCTGCACTGACTGCTTTGACTGGGTCGTCGAACTCGCTGGCATGCAGCTTGACCAACTTGGCCTCCCCCTCCTTGAGCTTCGCCAATTCGTCCTGGAGAGCAGCCGTGAGCTCGTCGAGCTCTTTGTCGAGGGCGGCCTGCTGCTCTTTGACCGCCTCGATATTCGCCTCCAGCTTCCCAGCTTTCTTGCACAGCACCTCCACACGCCAGCGCTGCGCCAGGGCCGTTGGGTCGGGCCCAACCCAGCTATACCTTGGGGGGTAGCGCGGTGACACCGCATGCCTGGCAAGATCTGGACGGCCACCAAACATAAGTTGCCAGGCGCGCGTTGGTCTTCAGATGCTCATGCCAAGGCGCGGGCCAAGATGGAGGGAAGAAGCGGGACGTGCATGGGTATTGTGTGAGAGCTGGCGCTTGCAATTCTAATTGTGGATCGCCTGAAGCAGGCACTCTTTGAGTTCCCGATGCTTCTGCACCCCCTGGGATACTCCTGATGCCTCGGTTGGCCTCCAGCGGAGCCCCGGGCAACCGAACAAGAACGATGCATGGACGCCGCCATCGCTTCCGTCACCGCATGGTGCCAGCGGGGAGGGGCTGGCAAACATATGTTTGCCGGCCCCCCCCGCGTGGTGCCAAACAAGGGCACCGATTTTTTGTCGGCCCCATTTTTTACAGGGTTGGCGAAAATCCGCGGTGACCGCCGGCTGGGGCTGGCAAACATATTTTTGCCGGCCCGACACCCCTGGCACCAGCGGAACGCCACAGGCACCGACACCGGCGAGCCCACTGCCGAACTTGACCCAACGGGGCGGTGAGTGGCATTTCATCTCGACGGTGCTTCCGAGATTCATGCGACGCCATCTGCCCCGGTATGTGCACCCCTGCCCCCTGCCCTCGTCGTCCTTTCCCCATCCCCCATCTCTCACTCCCCCCTCCAATTGCTCCTCCCTCATCCCACTCCTCACTTTTCCTCTTTTGATCTAAAACAATTTGTATCTGGGCCTTTTCGCACCAGCCTGGCGATGTCACCACGGCCCTCAATGTGGTGACGATTTGGTGCCCATCCTGTGGCCGCCTATATGATATCTATAACACCAAGGTAACGCCACTTTTAGCTGGGTTGGACCCGACCCAACCGGGCCGTGGGCGGTTTGCCCTCACTGGCCTTAGCGAGCTGGGCCGCCTATGCAGCCTGCGCGCTGGATGTACTGTGTCGAGCCCCTGCTTCGCCATGAACGCGACCACGCCCTTGTAAGTGATTGCGCCAGCGTCACCACTGCCAGCCGACGCCGCGGGCTGGCGGGCGCCGCCCCTCGGGGCGCCGCTGCCTCCTGCAGGCTGCTGGGGCTGCTGGGGCCGGGAGCCGACCCAAGGCGGGGTCTTGGGTGCTGGGTCCCCTTTGAGCTCCGCGCTCTGGACGCGCAGCTCATGCAAGAGGCGCATCTGCGGAGGCCCCTTAGCCCAGGCCCCCCCGCGGTGGAGTGGGCCCCGCGCCACGCGCCCGAGCCGAGAACGGGGGAGCCTGAGCCTTGGTTGCGGCCTGCCGCGCCGCATTGACCACTTTCTGAGGTGCTGGCTCGTCACACGGCCTGCATTTGACCCGCGACGCCCCAGTGTCCCAGCAGCCGCAGCCACACCCCCAACAGGGGGTCTCCGCGCCTGGCAAGACATCGGGCGATGGAACCATCGGCCGCCTTCGGAGAGGGCGGCAGATGCGAGCGTGAATGCAACTGTCGATTGGCCCGCAAGCACGAGCCGCTCTGCCATACGCGCTTGCAAGCACAGGGGCCCCAACGCGCCTGTGCCAGAACGGCTCAAACGATGGGGAGGAGTAAGCCGCACACGGTGGGGAGGAGGGACGGAGAGAAGAGGGGCGATGGAGAATGCATTGGCCTGCCTCCGATGGAGGTGATGTGAGGAAGGGGGGAATCGAGGAGGGGGGGCGAAGGCCGCGCGCGGTGGAAAAGGCCCTAAGGGTCCCAGCACAGACACCGAGGGAGGGAGTATCGAGGATCGAGGAGGATCGATGAGGAAGAGAACAGGGGAGGAGGACGACGACGATAATCGAACAGGATGGAGGATGGAGGATCGAGGAGAGCCCACCCTGTCCCACTCTCCTTGGCCAACAGCTCGACGGTGGAATCCCGCTGTGCCTGCCGCGTGAGGCAACCAGGCACGAGGAGGACGAGGAGGAGGACGAGGAGGACGAGGAGGAGGACGAAGAAGGGGACGAGAGGGGGGAGGAAACGGAGGACGAGAAGCAGAAAGAGGGCAAGGACGAGGAAGACGAGGAGAACAATGAAGATGATGATGATGATGATGATGATGATGATGATGATGATGATGATGATGATGATGATGATGATGATGATGATGATGATGATGATGATGATGATGATGATGATGCTGATGATGCTGATGCTGATGATGATGATGATGATGATGATGATGATGATGATGATGATGACGAGGAGGAGGAGGAGGAGGAGGAGGAGGAGGAGGAGGAGGGAGAGAGCTGCCCCTGCGCGTGCGCAGCACAGGGCGCGCGAGAAAAGGCGCGCGACGAGGTCCACCGTGAAAAGAGACGGAGGCGGCAGAGGCAGAGGAGGAGGAGGAGGAGGAGGAGGAGGAGGAATGACCATCAGTAGTGGGAAGGGGAGGGAGAAAAGGACAAAGAGGAGGCAGAGGGGTGTCCAAGGTCGAGGGTGGAGGCAGACCCCCGATGACGGCTTCCCATCTTGGACCGTTCTTATGACACCCCAGGGGGCCCCAAGTACAGCAAGGGCTCCTGGATGCCGAGCACTCCGAGCACTGCCCGAAGACCTTTCGTCGTGCTTGCTCCGCGATGCGAGCAAGTCTGGAGAAACCGTCTTCTTCCGTCCACGATTCCTGTCGTCCAGCCTGTCCCCCTCCCCCTCCGCCGCCAAACCCTCCACCCTGAGGGACCTCCGGAGGCCTATGAGCAGTCCACAACTGCAGAGAACGTCTAGAGGCTTCGGTCCACTGGAGGATCGAAGATGACTCAATGGGAACCATGGATTCCCCCCTGGGCGATGGCTGCGCGTCCGCCGAACTGCGTCCAGCCGTAACGAAAGAAACTCCGAGCCAATTAAGGGCCCGGAACCTCGAGCAACGAGAACTTCGAGCTTGACCCTTCCAGGGCCCGGCCTCCAGCGACAAGAGCCTCGCCGTGGACCCCTCCCCGACCCAAGTGTTCCGAGCTGCGACCAGCCACCTCCGAGACGAAGACGCCGTCGCCGTCGCCGTCGCCGGCGTCGGCGTCGGCGTCGTTGTCGTCGTCGCCATCGTCGTCGGCGTCGTCGTCGTCGTCGGCGTCGTCCACTCTTCCCAGCTGTGTCTGGCCGTGGCGGTGCGACCCTCCAATCGACGGCGTCGTCGTGGAGGCCTTCTGTTGGTTGGCGGCGCCCGTGGGGGAGTGGCCGCGAGGGGGGACGCCGATTAAGATTAGGTCGGGCATGTCCCTTAGAGGGGGATTTTGGATGCAAAACAGACTCACAAATACCTACAATTATCAACAACAATTAAACATCGTCCCCAGACTATTTTCTAACTATTTTTGAATATTCCTCCTGTAGAAGGACACGCCCGACTTAAGATTAAGAAGGCGGGGGGCCTCTTCTTAGAAGACCTCGGAGGTTTCTAATTGGGCGCTTGGGCGCGACTTATGGGGGGGGGCGGGGCGGTACATGGGGGAGGAGAAAGGAGCCCTTTTCGGGCCCCAGAAGTCCCCTTTGGGGTCCGACAGGGCCCCTTTCCGGGCCCTGGAGGGCCCCTTTTCGGCAGCCCTCGCTGCCCCACCCCCCCCATTCATCGCCCTCCCCGCTGCGCGCGGCCCAACCTCGGGAGGCGTCTGAAACGCCAGGCGGGCTCCCTAGAACCCCCTGCCTTCTCAGAAGCAGCCCCGCCTGCCTTCTCAGAGGGCCACCCCACCCGCGCCACGCCCCCCCTCGGGCGCCGCCGAGCATGGGCGAGCCGCGCCCAGCCCCGGCGACGAATCCCTCCGAGACGGAGACGCCGTCGCGCCTTGGAGCCCCTCCTAGACGAAGGCGCTGTCGCTCCTCGTCCTCCTCTTCTACACCACCTCCTCCTCCTCCTCTCCTCCTCCTCCCTCCCTCCTCTCCTCCTCCTCCTCCTCCTCCTCCTCTTTCCTCCTCCTCCTCCTCTCCTCCTCCTCCTCCTCCTCCTCCCCCCTCCTCCTCCTCCTCTTCTCCTCCTCCTCCTCCTCTCTCTCCTCCTCCTTCTCCTCCTCCCTCCTCCTCCTCCTCTCCTCCTCCTCCTCCTCCTCCTCCTCCTCCTCCTCCTCCTCCTCTCCTCTCCTCCTCCTCCTCCTCCTCCTCCTCCTCCTCCTCCTCCTCCTCCTCCTCCTCCTCCTCATCTTATAGGGCAACGAGCAGCGACAGACATGTCAAAAGCTCGGACGTCCGCGCGGAGTCCTCGCACCGGCGCCGGGGCCCCCCGGCAGCGGAGCCCGAGGGGGGACGGGAGGCCCGCGCTCGCGCGCAGCGCGGCGGCCTGGCTCAGCTCGGTTGCGTTCGCGGCGTTGGCGGCCGCCTGCCCCAGGGGCGCCGTCGTCCACCGCCGTCCGCCGCCCGCCGTCCGCCGCCGTCCGTCGGCCTCGTCCGTCGTCCAGAGTCGTCGTCCATCGTCGTCGCCGTCGTCCGTCACGTTCGTCGGCCGTCGTCCGTCGTCCTCCGCCGTCGTCTGCCGCCCGTTCTCAGTCGTCGTCTTCTGCCGCCCATCTTCTGTCTTCAATCTTTAGTCGTCGTCGCCGCTATCATTGCTTTCCCTCGCCGCCGTCGCTGCCGGAGTCGTCGTCTTCGTCGTCGCTGGCGTCGTCGCTGGCGTCGTCGTCCGTCGCGTCGTCCGTCGACATCGTGGTCCGTTGCCGTGCGTCGCCAGGACGGCCGGGATGGGGACAACAAGTGTGGGACAGGCTGTGGGACAGGCGACGATGTCCCAAAGGGACAACTTTCAGGGTGACACCGACACCGACTCATGTCACATAACATTGGCGAGATCTGTTGTTTGTCATCGTCCCCGATCGTGCCGAAATGAAGCAGGACAACTTTTGAAGAGGCTGAATTTCGACGCGCCCCGCGCCAGGAAACGGACAAGGAGGGCCATCCCATGTCCCATGTTTGAAGCAAAAGAACGGATGAACGTAGAATATCAGCGCGTGGGCCTGAAACCGTTTCTGTGTGAAAAAAGTGTGGAGTCACCCCATATGTGGAGCCCATTGTTTGAGGAGCATATGGAACCTTACGTCCTAACCCACTTCCAAGCCCATGTCCAAACCCCCGAAACCCACGTCCAACCCCGCGTATAAATCCACGCCCGACCCCACGTCCAAACTCAAATGAATCCCACCAGCCCTCTGGGCGTAGGTGGTCTAGAGCAGATCCTCTTCCACCCCTCCCTCTTCCCCCTTGGGGAGGGGTTTACCCCTCCCCCTACCCCCTCCCCTGGACCTGGACGGGGGGGGCCGCGGGTAGTTAGAGCGTCCAAGATGGCCCAAGACGGCTCCAAGAGCGCCTCAGAGAACCCAAGATGAGCTCCAAGATGGCTCAAGATAGCGCAAGATCGCTCACGATGGCTCCTAAGATGGTTCCAAGAAGCCCAAAGACGGCCCCAAGATAACTCCAAGTGGCCAAACAGCTCCCCAAGGAGGCCCCGAAGAGGCCAAAATCGTCCCAAAACCTAAGGAAAATCAATGATTTTTGCTTTCTCGCCTTTTCGCTTCCGATGGCCATCCGAGGCCTGGAGATGGCTCCAAGATGGCCCAAGAGGGCCCCAAGAGAGCCCCAAAAGAGCCCCAAGACGGCCCCAAGAGCGCCCAAGAGCACTCCAAGAGCGTTCCAAGAGGGGTCCAAGAGGCGATTTTAGGGGCTTCCGAGGGGGGGCGCTAATTAAACCCCCCCTCTTGTTTGATCGACTCCCTCCAAGATGGCCCCAAAAGCGCCCCGAAGGCTCCCCAGAGCGCCTCAAGAGGGTCCCAAGAGGCGCCCAAGATGCCCCAAGGCGCCCAAAAAGCCCTCCAAGAGGCCCTCAAAAGACCCCCAAGAAGCTCCTTCCCCTCCTCCTCCTCCTCCTCCGATTCTTCCTCCTTCTCCGTCCTCCTCCTCCTCCTCCTCCTCCTCCTCTTCCCCCTCCTCCTCCTCCTCCTCCTCCGACGACGACGACGACGACTCCTCTTCCATCCTCCCCCTCTCGGGGTCTGTGACAGCTTCCCCCGCCCTTTGTTATTCTGCATGCTCCCCGACTTCCCTGATCACCTCAACTCCCCTGAGCATCGTTTCTGGATGGGCTGGTGGGGATACGCGAAGCGTCAACAATTTTTACATCCAATACGTTTCGGTACCCAAGGCCAAACGCGGAATTAATCTGTAAATGGGTCAATGGGGGACCCTACATGCAAGTACTGTTTCGGAAACAACTTTCACTTTCGACGACAACCGAACATTTGCTCCAAACGCTGGAGGCCTGGTCTTCACGAGCGGCAATCATACGTGCACATATCCGTGCCCTCGCGGTCTGGATACCGCAGCGCGATCGCACGGGCGCGCGATCCACTCGATGCGTTTGTTTATTGGGGACTCGCGCAGGCCCGCTCTGTATTCATTGGGCCGCATCCGAGGAGCCTGGACAGCAATGGAATCGTAATCAGATTCAGAGGTGAGGCAAACCAGTGAGGTGCAACGATAGGGGGGGCTGGCATAGTGGCATAAGGGCCAGGGGAAACATCGATCTGTAATCGACGATACATCGCCGATAGATCGGCGATGGGCCAACAATAGTGAGTCCGCACGTTCCTAGGCAGGTCGGGGCTATCGGGCCCTTCTCGGCGATCAATGGGCGATTGGGGATCAATGCATCCTCGCCTATGCCTATCCCTCCCTATCGTTGCCCCTGAGAGGTGAGGCAAAAAAGCACGCAAACCTTGAAAACGCGGGGGCCCACGCCCCAAGATTCCTCATCCTCCATGCGCCCTCAGCACCTGGAGACCGCCATCTTGGCCCACTGTGCAAGACCGTCGGCGGCGACTCCCCTCCCCAGCCGCAGCCAAGGAAGCCGTGGATATGGGTATGCCCAGAACTCCGACGTCGAATTCTTTCACCACACGGACTCCCCTAGAAAAGTGGACCCTTTCCCCAAGACCAGCTTTTCATCCCGAACCGCCTTTTGACGGACCCATGGCACGGTGAGGGCCCCTGGAGGCGCAAAACTGGCAACAAAACATTCCGTCGCGATTATTCCACGACGCGAGCACGGAGAAAGCCCTTCTGGACGGTCTTCGTGAGAACCGTCAAGCGCTGACAAGCCCGATCAAGATGCCCTTGCGCCAGATCAGTCCGGACTTTCACCCTGGGGTCCAAGCGGATGATCGTAAGCCAGATCAAGCTGGTGTTTGATCACGGGTATACTGGCGCCGATGCTGAACTGAACCTCCCAGGAGTTACATCCTGGGTTCCCCACCCGCGAGAGCTCGGCTGCCCTCCCCGCGGGGGCCTGTGGCGGCGCGCACAAGGGGGTGGGGGGAGGGGGGGAGGCCTCTTAGAAGGAGGCTGCTTCTTAGAAGGCGCTTGCCTTGCATCTACAGAGAAGGGCCGCACCTTTTGAGAAGCAGGAGTGCTTCTAAGAAGCCTGTCCCCCTCCCCCCTCCCCCATGCGCGTGGCCGAGGTAAAAAGCCAGCAGGCCTGCAAAACGCAGGGGCTCACGCCCAAAATTCCTCATCCTCCACGCGCCCTCAGAACCTGGAGGCCGCCACCTCGGCCCACTGTGCAAGACCGCCGGCGGCGGCTCCGCTCCCCAGCCGCAGGCAGGGAAGCGCGTGGCCAAAGCCTGGTGGTCGTGGGCGCGCACGGCGGCGCTCTGCACGAACGAGGGCGGCACGACGGCCGCCTTCGCGGCTGGCCTCTTGGCGGCCTGGCCGCTCTGGACGAGGGCCTCGGGCGGCCAAGGGCTGCGGTGGAATCCTGCTCCTCCTCTTCGCTCCTCCTCGCTCCTCCTAGCTCCCCCTCCTCCTCCTCCTCCACCTCCTCCTCCTGATCCTCATCATCATATTCATCCTCCTCCACCTCCTCCTCCTCCTCATCCTCATCATCATCTTCATCCTCCTCCTCCTCCTCCTCGCTCTTCGCTCATCCTCTTCCTCCTCGTTCATCCTCGCCCCCCCACCGTCCTCCTCCTCCTCCTCCTGGTGCTTGTCCTCCTCCTTCTCCTCCTCCTCCTCCTCCTCCTCCTCCTCCTCGTTCCTCGCTTCTTCTCCTCGCTTCTCCTCCTCCTCCTCCTCCTCCTCCTCCTCCTCCTCCTCCTCCTCCTCCTCCTCCTCCTCCTCCTCCTCCTCCTCGCTCCTCCCCATGCTTCTCGCTTATCCTCGCTCCCCTCCGTCCTCCTCCTCCTCGTCCTTGCTCCTCACTCCTCCTCGTGCCTCTCGTTCATTCTTGCCCCCCCCCATCCTCTTCCTCCTCTTTTTCGTCCTCACTCCTCCTCCTCCTCCTCCTCCTCTCTCCTCCCTCCTCCTCCTCCTCCTCCTCCTCCTCCTCGCCCCCCCTCCTCTTGCTCCTGCTCCTCCTCCTACTGCTCCTGCTCCTACTCCTCACTCCTCCTCCTCCTCCTCCTCCCTCCTCCTCCTCCTCCTCCTCCTCCTCCTCTCCTCGTCCTCCTGTTCCTCCTCCTCCTCCTTCTCCTCCTTCTCCTCCTCCTCCTTCTCCCCTGACACCCCCGCGCCGCGAACAAACAAACTTCACGAGAGGATGTTTGTTTGACCGCTGTCTGCCTTCGGCGGCCCTTACAAGGCCCTAGGGCCGTCAACAAAACAGCTCGAGATGAAGAGTCCCTGGGAAGAGGTCCACCCCTGGGGAAAACCAACAGGTGCCGATACTGCTACTCCCCTGATTTCTCCCAGGGTGCGTTCAGACCAGAATTTCAGGGCGAATCCAGCCGTGGCGACGAGGGCCTCCCGGGAGGCCCACGACGGGGGAAACGAGGGACTGGTATCGGCATCGCTTCCTCTGATGGGGGGCCACGTTACGAAAAGAAAGCGACGCCGAATGCCCGCCTCGAGGCTCGAAGATCGAGTTGGATACGGAAAGCATGGGGACGAAAACCATCAGCAGTTCCTGCCCATCTTTAACCAGATTCTTTGTCGGCGTCTCCGCGGACGACGTCCATTCGAGACACGAGGTCGCCTGCCCAACAGCGGCCGCTGTCGGCTTCGGACAGCGGTTGCTGTTTGGTATCGTGCCTATTTACCCATACACATCTCGGGCGCCCAGACTCCCGATCTCTAGACATGACTGGCCCGAGACTGTTTGGGGACCGTCCTAGAGCCAGCGGGCGCGCACTCGCACACGTGCCGTGATGGGGCCTTCCTGAGCAAGGTGACCACTGTCACCCGCGGCTTTATGGGCACAGGCTTAAAACTGCCTTTTTCAATGCTGCTGCAGGCATGAGATGACGGCCGTGCCCCTCCTCGATGGCCTCCGGCGCTCCCCCCCCTTCGGTAGCATGCGCTGATCCGCACAACCTGTTATCACACTGGCTCCCTTGCTCGAGGCTGCCTGCGCGCTCCTGCCTGTAGCCTCCTTGTGCCTTCGTCCTCTGCCGCCGCCTTCTTCTCTTCCACCCGTCGCAGTGTGCACACGGACCAGCGCGGCTCATCGAACGCGTTAGCGTTTGATCTCTCTGCTGACCAGGAGGAGGAGGAGGAGGAGGAGGAGGAGGAGGAGGAGGAGGAGGAGGAGGAATAGCGGGGGGAGGAAGGGCAGGGGAAACGGTAGGAGGTCCGTGTACAGCGACCAGCAGGACGAGGAACAACGCCCCCCTCATGATGTGGTCGTGTGTAGAAGAACAAAGTGTACGGAGCAAATTCGGGTCATGCGGCGGGGCTATGGCACCGAGCTGAAGCCTTGAGCCAAAGTGGCTACGGACCGAGGAAGGGGTGTTCTTGGGGGGGGGGGGGGGGCGGGGGGGGGGGGAAGTATGGGGAGCGGGGGGGTCCGAAGGTTGTGACCCCCCCTCCCCGGGGAGCACTCCTCCTCATCCTCTTCTTCCTCCTCCTCCTCCTCCTCCTCCCTCCTCTCCTCCTCCTCCTCCTCCTCCTCCTCCTCCTCCTCCTCCTCGCGTTAGCGTTTGAATGACGTGGCGATCGCGACACGCAGTAACGATGGGGCCACCCCTGAGCTGGCCGCCCGAGCCGCCGACGCGAGGGCGGCCCCCATAAGCCCGGGGGGCGCAGGGCCAGCGCGGAGGCCACCTGGGAGATCGGACGGCTGTGCTGTGCCTTCGGGGCGGCCTCGTCCCTCCTCTTCGTCGTTGCCCTTTACGCGCCGAGCCCGCATCGAACCCATGCCGAGCCCGCGCCGATTCCGTGTCCGGTCCGCCTCGAAGCCACGCCGCACCCGCGTCGGATTCAAGAACATGCGACAGCTTCTAGGGCGGGCGAGGCCCCCCGAAGGTGCAGCGTGTCCACCGCTCCCCACCGCTCGGAAGAAGCAGGTAGAAACTCGAAGCAGGAGGGCGCTGGGGGCGAAGTGGATCTCCGCCCGCCCCCCGAAGAGGTCGGTCGGACGCAGGCTGGGGCGCTGGGTCGTGCTCTGTCAATCTCGTGAGGTCATGCGCCCTGAAGGTCCTCGGGGGCCGATGTCACCCTGGGGCCGAAAAAGGAACAAGACAAAATTACCCGTGGGGCCACAGGATGGCCTCGAAATGCCATGGCGCGACGCGTTTGCGCTTGCGCTCTCTGGCTTCGGCACGGTTCTTTCGAATGCGCTCAAGCTGCTCAGGCGTGAGCTGAGCGAGCGGAGGAGGAGGGGGAGGGGGGAAGACGACTAAGGTAGCCGAGCCAGGGGCGGGGCTGTCCGCTCCCAACTCTTGGGCGGCCTCCTCGTCCGCCTCGAGGTCGTAGGCCGACTCCTGCGGCCGAGGATCCTCTTGGGCCATGGACAGAGGGACCTGGGGAGGCATGGCGGGGGCACCAGGGACCAGGAGAGGGGCAAAGGCGGAAGAAGGGGAGTCAGGAGGGTCCCAACGCCACCTTTCAGGATCAACTTTACGTTTAACCCTGAGGCTGCCGGCATAGTCGGGAGGCTCCTAAAACTGCTCGTGGTCCGACCAAGGTACATGCAATTTGCGTATGACTGCATCGTGGAAATCCGTTGTGGCTGGTATCTCTGGAGGATCTTCTGCCTCCGAGTTAAATGCAGTGTTGATGGCATCCCACATGGCCGTTGCGATAGCACTGCACATGGACGGTGGGTGCGTCTTCTTGCAATTCGTTTTGAAAGTGCCGTCGTCAATCTTGCCTACAAGGGACAAGTGAACATTCTTCCCGTGGTTGCAGAAACCATTGTTTCGAGCTTTCAACAAACTGTAAAGTCGTGGTGGCCGTAGGGCGAGGATGCGCGTAGCACCTCTGCCGTGTTCCTTAGGATTCCCGTCGCGATGCATACACTGATCAAACTGGATAGTACTGACAAGCGGGCAGCTCTCCAAAGCACGCGTAGGCATCCGTGCATCCACTGGAAGCTGGAAGGCGCATGTGGGCGCCAGAGAGCTGGAGGCGGATGTTCTATCCACCCGCACGTGCCTGCTCGGATATGCTCCGCAAGCAGTTGGGCAATTGTAAACAGTATGAGATTGCCCGTACGTGCCTGCATGTGTTGCGCCTCCGTGCACCACGGCACTCCCCACATGTATGATTGTGCACGCACAGGGGGGGCCCCCGTCGTTCCAGCGAGCAGCGCTCCAAGTCTCGCATGGTGCCCCCCCCCCCCCCTGTAACCCAGACCCGATGGTGGCGGATATGCTCTGACCATTCTTGTATCGCGGCCTCCCGAGTCAGATCTCCCCAGATGTGATCTATTGCAATGTCCAAGGACCGTGTGGTGACCTGGATGTCAGATGTGGCCTGGAAGTCGGATAGATGCCATTGTATGTCGCCTTGTCGGCGCTGACCACAGAAGAGGTTCAATATGAATACTTCAAATCGTCGCAACCGGTACGACACAGCCATAGTAGATATGCCACAGTAGTCGTTAGGTCGGAAAATATAATACCGATCCTCGAACTGGGCCCGTGGTGGCTCTGACGCAGGGGCCCCGCGGGAGTCGTGCCAAGCACGAAGTAGGATCGGTAAGACCTCTATGGGGAACTCGTAGTGGGTCTCTTGCAGGACTTGGCGGGCCTCCGTCTCCGTGAGATGCGAGAAAACCCAAGCGGACTCCCAAAGACATTCCTTGGTGCCCAGGGTGGCAGGGTATGCCGTGCGCCAGCGCCCCAGACCGTCCTTCCTCCTCTTAGCGCACAGCATCCTATCCTCCTCAGTGGCCAGTACCGCCTCCTCATGCTCCAACTGCGGACCTCTGCACATGTACGCTAGACAACATCGAGCCGAGTCGTAGGCAAGATGATCGCGTAGCTGCCTTCTCGAGGCGAAGTCCGTGCAACAGGCCTGACATTCTGAGCTGCGTCCTAGAAATCGTTCAACCTGCGACACCATACGGAAGAGATTCTGAACGATATGCTGTCGTAGGGACCTGGGCTTGTAGAAATGCGACGCACACCAAGGGCATGTGAGATCTGGCTGTGGTATGACTTCTGCCTGTCGTAGTGGGTGATCGGGATCCGCGATGGGCAGCGGGAAGCCGCTAGGCTGTACGACTGAGAAAAACTTCTTTGCAGCTGCGTCTGCAAGAGCGGCGTTCGAGTCCGCTCGTGCCGATCCTGCTATGGCCTCCTTGAGAAGGCACTTCCATGCAGGGAAAGAAGACTGTACTCTTCGTTCCCAGGGCGCGAAGTCGTCGCGAGGGTCTGGTAGTTCTCGAAGCTGATTGCAGACTGCTCTGAGCCAGACCAAATCGTCCGTAACGTGGTGAAGCCAGGAGGTTTTGCCCTTAGGTCCCGAGTAGGCCCGATAGGCCGTGGTGAGTAAGCCCTTGATAGTGTCGGACCCAAAGAGGATGACCCTGCCCAGGAGACGTAATCTGTGGACGCGGAGTTGGTCTGACAGGTCGGACCTCTGGACCGTGGCAAGAACTGATCGATCCGCGGTAGCAGTGTCGTCACATTGTGGCATGCCACAAGCTGTCCGATATCTCCTAAGCATCGTATGCTTAAGTTTGTCGTGTGCACCACGTTCCAAATTACACCACGTGCCTGCGTTGAACAGCAAAGAGGAGGTAAGTAACGAGTCCACAAAACGCATCTTCATGATGAGGGCCTCGGGGCTCTTGGGGACCACTTTGAACACCTTCCTGCCCAAGACATTCGCAGAGGAGGTAGTGCCCGCGATGAGCCGCTTCGGGGCCCAGGCTGCCTCGTTCATCCAAGATGGTGCCCAAGTGGGGGTATTGCCTCACAGCGCTAAGACTCATGTGCCCCATGATGTGGTCCTCCCATTCCCACTTGCCTTGCATGTGCTTCCAAATCTTGAGCTGAGCCGCTCTGGCATGCTGCCCGTGAAATTGGAAGAGGATATCCGTCGTCCCAGGCTTGAAATTGAGGGGAAGACCTCTGGCCGCAAATGATGCTGCCACCGTGCCTGCAATCTGAGGCACACGCTCCAGCAGCTTGAGTGGTTCACCTATCATGGCAAACGAACCGTCGTCGAAAAAGAGCACATCTAAGGCGGGCTGCGTCTCGGCAGGTTCGTGCTCCATCATCTGTGCGAGAGAAGCTCCTGGCAGCGCAGGCACCTTAAATGCAAGATCCAAGTGCTGGAGTTGGTCCTTAGCTAGATGCATACATTCCGCCATGATAAAATTGAAAATGACATCTCCCAGATGCTGCCCCGGGACAGTCCCAATCATAGAAAAGGCGACCAAAGACGATCCTGGATAGTGAAACCAAGCTCCCTGGTAGGATGAGGCCACTAATTAGGGCCCCGAAGAGGAGGGGAGAGGGACGCCATTCGATAATTGAATGAGGAAGGCGCCCAAGTAGATTCTCATACTCTTTCAAGGAGCTCGCGAAGCAACGCCTCTCTCCAGTCCGACTGCCAATCACATGCATCCTCACACGGGTTGGCAGGCCCGATACAAAATCTCGGGGCTCGCGCTCAGCTTCATGGGGGGAGGCGCCTAAAAAAGATTAAAGTAGATTGGGATCAGAGAACCCGGGACAATCTCTGCTTGTTGCAGCGACCCGTGAGCAGCGATGGGGCGCCTCGCTGGCGAGCCAGGCTCGACCTGAGGGCGGCGCCCTGATGTTGACGGCCTCGTCCATGCCCTGCGGCAGACGAGGGAGGGGGGGGGGGGGGGGCGATGGAGGAGGGAGGGAGGGAGGAGGAGGAGGAGGGAGGAGGGAGGAGGGAGGAGAGGAGAGAGGAGGGAGGAGGAGGAGGGAGGAGAGGAGGAGGAGGGAGGAGGAGGGAGGAGGAGGAGGAGGAGGAGGAGTAGGAGCAGAGAGAGGAGGAGGAGCAGGAGGAGGAGGAGCAGGAGGAGGAGGAGGGGAGGGAGGGAGGGAGGGAGGGAGGGAGGGGAGGGGGGGAGGGCCACCGTCGGCTCGAAAGCAGCCTCTCCCAGGAACGCGATTCTTTATTCGCGGCGATAACGGGCGTTACTGGGGGGGGCCGCGGGGGGGCATGGCGCAACGCCCCCCCCCACGCCGTGCGGTTACGGTGCCACCGAAGCGTCCGTGCGCACCACGACGACGACGACGAACACGACGACGAGCGACCACGACCACGACCACGACCACAACCACGACCACGACGACGACGACGACGACGACGACGATGAGCGACGCCTCGGGAAGTTTCTGGAGGTTTCCCGACGCCTCCGGAGGCCTCCAGGGGCCTTCGGGAGGTCATCCGACGGCCTCCAAATGCCCTCGAAAGCATTCGAAGGCGTTTGACGGCGACGAGCGACCGCGATGATGATGACAACGACGACGACGACGACGACGACGCAGATGACGACAACGACGACGACAAAGAGCGACGACGATGACGACGACGACAACGACGACGACGACCGACAACGAAGAGCGACGACGACGACGAGGACGACGACGACGACCGACAACGACGAGCGACCAGGAGTTGTGGCGAGCACATGCCTGCGAAGGCGTCGTGGCCTCCACGTGGCGTATAAGGGGTATGCTCCTTACCTCACTCCTCCATCCTAGTCGTCGTCGTCGTCGCGTCGTCGTCGTCGTCTTCGTCTTCGTCGTCGTCGTCCTTCTCCTCCTTTTGCACTCTCCTACGAACACCACAAGTGCCTGAGAGCACCGCATCTTGCCCGCGACCGCAGCCCCTATGCGGCTCCCCACGCGGATCCCTATGCGGATTCCCATGCAGATTCCTGCGCCGGCGCGGGCCTCTGGGCGCGGAGGCCACGCCGGGCGGCTCTCGGAGGAGGGGGGCGCCGGGCGGCGGCCGGAGCCGCTCAGGCCGCGGGCGGCGGCAGGCGGGCGCGGGGCAGGTGCGGCGGCCGCTGCCGGCGGCGCGGCGGGTGCCCGGCGCAGCTGGCGGCTAAGGCTGGCCCGTGGGGGCGGCGCGGGGGCGGCCGGGGCGACTGCGGCGCTGCTGGGCCGGGCTGCGCCTGGCGGTGGGGCCGCGCTGGTGCCGCACTTCCCGGAAGAGGTGTGGCGCCTGGCGGTGGGACCGCAGGCCGCTGGCCACGCGGCCGCGCGGGCGGGCTCCAGGGCCGGACACGCGCTCCGCCAGGGAGGAGGAGGAGGAGGAGGAGGAGGAGGAGGAGGAGGAGGAGGAGGAGGAGGAGGAGGAGGAGGAGGAGAAGGAAGAGGAGGAGGAGGAAGAGGAGGAGGGGAGCGGGAAGGCGGGGGAGGAAGTGGAGGAGAGGGGAGCCGCGCCCCCCCAGCTACTCAGGCAGCCAAGGACACGTTGGGCCGGCCCCGATGCTGCGCAGCCCGGCGGCGCTGCCGCTGGACTCTGGGGTGGCTACACGTCCCACTCTGGGTGGAGGGAGGAGTAGGCGACTGATGTGGGAGGAGGGAAGGAAGAGGAGGGGGAGCATAGAAGATTTTTGGCCCGCGAGGCTCCATCTGCAGGGTGATGACCTCCATCAAGATTGCAGGACAGGACTCAACAGATGAGGCAGCAGCGACGCTCCTTCTGTTGGAACGCTGTACAGATGTCAAGGCTGAGAAACCCTAGAGCCGTCCAGACCAAAACAGTCACCAAAGGCTTCGAGTGACTATTTTGAGGCGGCTCCGTCTGGAAGGCTCAGATCAACAATCTGTTTCTTGCATGCTGTCGGTGGGAAAAGGGGGAAGGGAGCAGGACGGGGGGAACAAAAACAATAATGGTTGAGCAACAAAAAATATGGAACGGAACACTTGCGATGTAAAATGCGTTCGAGGGCATTCCTACAACCGGAACTTCCAGTGTAAAAGACTCTGGATTTGTGCCGCTCGCCTCGAAGAGGAACCTTCCCGCGACCCCGCTGAGGGGACACCACTGGCTGATGTTGGAACAGGAAGAGGGGGAGGTGAAGGAGAGGAGCGGGGGTGGAAGGAAAGGATGGACAGAAAAGGAGTGCGAGCGAACGAACGAGGAGCCGGTGCAGGATCATGCGGCGAAACGCGTGTCTGTAAGAGTTCGGGCAATGCGCGTGAGACTGTATGTAGCCTCTCAAACCGTGCAGAGCTCGACCCACACGAAGATCTTCATAGTTGGAGGAGGGAAATGGGAACATGGGAACGAAATGAGGCGGGGACGACAAAAGAGAGCAACGGAAAACAAGAGCATGCCATGGAAATCCACCACCAAACTCAATCCTGGAGGCTCGTCCTGGCCAAATCGAAGCGCAATGCCCATCTGAGGCCGTGGTGGCCAGAAGAAGGACGAAGGGCCGAGGGAGGGATGAGGAGGGGGAGGGGGAGGAGGAAAGGCCCGGAGGGTTTGAGGAGAGGGAGGAGAGGGAGGGGTATCCAGAACGGGGGCCCCATCCGAACCCAAAAGAACGGGAGGGGGGCCGAATTGATGTGCACAAGCACCGACTAAGCCCAGCTGGGCCAAGGACTAGGCACCGAAATGGTGCAGCCACCCACCAGGCCCATCCAGACGACGGGAGCGGAAGGCGTCAGCCAGGGACCAAAACCCTACAGGTGGGGGAAGGCCCCATGGGGACATCTTCCCCATCGGGAACCAGATCATGCTTAGTAGACAGCATAGGAACCACGCGGGCGTCTGTTCTCTGCTAGAGTGACGTCTCCCCCAGACAATGGTGCATCCTGGCCGCCTCGAGGCCGCGCGCGCGGTGCACTGGGCGATCTTCGTTGGCAACATGATGAGGTCTTTGAACTTACCGGCAAAGGCAGCTGGCACATACGTGTGCGAAGAAGTCCGCCCACGCATTCCAATGTGCAAGTGCTGGAGGGCCTCTAGCTTCAATGGGCGTTCCCATGCCCTTGTGCGGAAGCACCCACGTAAACTGACAACGCACCTCATCATCACGGCGTAGATGAAGGATCTTTCTCCACAGCGCTGCGCGCAGAGATCCGCTGGCCTCGAGTTCGGGGCCCCACCTGCTGGCCTGCCTCCTCGACGGACGAGAGGTGGTTGCTGGCGATGGTCCCAGGCCGCTTAGCCCTCGGCAGCGCTCGATAACCTGCCAAACGTTCACCTCGTGGCACCGTTTGATCACGCCCGGGCAGCGCGCTATACCGGGCACGAACTGGAATGCCAATGGACGGACGCAGCTGCACGACCGACCAGTCCACTCTGCTCAAGGTAGGGTGGCTGTTGTGCATACCCGAGACATCGCAATACCTAATGTCATTCCACTCGCCATCAACAGCTTCCCAAGACAGCCTATCAGGATCCGTCTCTGGAAGCCGTGGCTGGAGTGGTGCCAGAGGCAATCCGTAGGTCAGCTCGCACGTGTCAGGGTCATTAATGTTCTCCTTAACTAGCTGCAGCCCTGGCCACCGAAACTCCACAACATCATCTGGCGCCACCTCTGGACGCGCCTCCGACGGTTGACGCGCGCCAGGGCATACACTCCATTGATGAGACAGCGTTCCCTTCGGCGCACCACAATGAAAGCGTTCCCTGGAGACTGCGACGCCTAACTCCACCGCTCGATCAGGACAGAATAGGCCCCCAGCCCGCAGCTTACAAAAGGCCGCTCTTATGGGCCCTTGCTTCACAGAGAAAATGGCTGACCTCGTCGCCCTTCCCCAGATCGACTCATCCCCGATGCCATCAAGAAGGTTGTCTCAAAAACGGTTGTCTCTGATGCGGAGCACTTGGGATCTACGCATCGACTCGGCAATCCGCTTCTCCAGATCACGCGGGGCCACGTGCAGCAGCGAGCACTGCTGCCCCGCACCATCGACGCGTTCAGAAGGCCTTGCAACCGCCCAGCAACGTCTCGCCAGCGTGAGCCGCGCCGACGAAACAAGTCCTCGAGCCAGGGCCCGACTAGGTTTGTCATCGCAATACTTGTCGCACCCCGCTCGCCACGCATGAAGTAATCCGATGGCGGAGCGCGCCCATCCCAGATGACACTGTGGCAACGCTTGATCAAGATGGCAGTGGAGCCAATCAATCGGTCGAAACAATCATCGCGTTGCGTAGAAAGGCATAGCGTGAGCGAGGCATTCCTGGCGGCGCCCGCCGCGCCTCCTGCCAGCAGCGCAACTGCTTGAGCACCGCGCCCGACATTCCGCTCACCCCTGCACCGTGCTCTGCTGCAAAAAGGAACCCCGGGCAGCATGATGCGCCAACGCGCTCGTGCAAAGCTCGTCGCAGCGCGAGTGCCTTGCCTGCTCGCTCTTTCAACTTAGCCAGACGCGCGCGCTCCTGCGCCCGACAAACTCCGTGAAACTCGTTCCCGAGATTTCGGAGATTGGGCTTCGGTTCCAATCGCATTACCCCCCGAGGACAAGCCCGAATCCCTCTGAGGCCCTCTGGGCCCAAGATCTCTGACGTAGCCCCCGAAGTTGCGCGCGCAAGCGTTCAGCGCCGCTGCCTCTCGAGGATCGGGCCCAGGCCACGGCGAGGCGATGTCGTCCATCAGCGCGCGTGCTCTACTATTGTCGTGTCTGTTGCACAAGTAACCTACCGCACGATAGAGCACCAGCATCAAAACAGAGGTTGCATGTGTACAGCTAGCTAGTGTACCTTGAAGAACAACCAATAGAGAGTTGACAGTGCCGCGCGCTCGAATACGACGTTGGACTCGATATGCCTGGATAATCATCCATCTCACTCTTAACCAGTACTCGAGCTCGCGCGCCCCCCGAAGTATGATGTCCCA